CTGCAGGCCCGTGTGGCTGCGCAGTATGCCACACTAGCTCAGTTGGCTTCGCACACAGGTGGCATTCAGGAGGTCGTGGGTTCGATCCCCCACCAGCCGCCTGTGGCGGTGTGCTTACTGGTTACCAGCTGAGATAGTTGGTTTGGTCCCCCCAGGGCCAATTGGTCTCGGTAGGGTCCGTTCTCTTGGAGCCCCTCGCCCCTGCCATTCCTCACTGGGGGTTAGTACCCCGGCTTAGGCTGTTCCCTCAAGTCTTAGCCTATTCCCTCTAGGCTCAGGCTATTCCCTCCCTCTACCCGTAGATCCCGGATGCTCCGGTATAGATAGGTAGGTAGTGTGAGCTATATTGAGTGAAGAAGATAGCTAAGTTTTTCATTAAGCCACTAGTACCTTTGGCGTCCGGTTTCGACAAGTTCTTGCCAGCTCCCGAACTTTCAGGAGGCCGAGCCCGACGTTGATCAATCTGATCGGCGGCCGTCGTTTCGTTTCGGCCTCCTGAAAGGTCGGAGGCCCGCTATTTTCCGAACCGACAAAGGTACTAGTGGTTTAAAAAAAAAAAAAAAAAAAGTAACTGCCAACTGACAACTTGGTGGAAGTTCGACGAAACAGTCTGGGACAGGCACGCTTTCATTGTGGAGGTGTGTATACTACACTCTATAGGGAATATAACAAAACACACACACACCCACACACACACACAAAAAAAAAAAAAAGGAAAAAAAAAAGAAGACAAAGGTAGGGCAAATAAGAAGGAAAAAAAAAAAAAGACAAAGACAGCAGCAAGGAGTTAGTCTTCTCTTTATAGGAGTGAGTGTATTCAATATGAGCAAACTTAGCAAAGCTAACAATATAGCGTTATTAGGGTTTGTGAAGGGGGTAACAGGGGGTTTATGGAGGGTTCATGAAGAGGGGTATTAGGGTTTACGGAGGGTTCATGGAGGGCGTATTAGGGTTTATGGACCGTTATTGGGTTTAAGAAGTGTTGTTTCTACGTATTAGGGGGTACAAAAAGGGGGTATTAGGGTTTATGAGGGGTAATCAATCAATTAGGGGTTTAAACTCTTCAGAGACTCCACGCTAGTGCAGGCAAGGATGACGACCATGAACAAGCGCAGAAGCTGAAAACAGCAAATGTGGTTAGTTTGCAAAGAGGTGTTAGGATTGTCGAAAGGGATCATAAATTCATAATTAGGATTCAAAAGGAGGGGTCATCCGTTGGGTTTTTTTTAAGGGGTTCATCAGTTGGGTTTTTATTAGAAGGGGGTCATCAGGTGGGGTTTTATTTTCCAAGGGGGTCATGTTTTTTTTTAACTTTTTTTTCATAAGGGGGTCATCAATTGTTTTTTTTTTTTTTTTTTTAGAAGGGGGTGATCAGTTGGGTCTTGAAACTTTTTTTTCTTAGTAAAAGGGGGTCATCAGTTGGGCTTTTCTTGAAGGGGGTCATCAGCTGTTTTTTTTTTTCAGTAGGGGGGTGGTTGTCAATTAGGTATTTCTTAGAAGGGTGTTGTCAGCTGTTTTTTTTTTCTTTTCCAGTAGGGGGTCATCAGGTGGGTGATTTTTAGAAAGGGGTCAGGGGTCAATCAGTGTTCACCGAGCAGTATTGGGATTTAGTACCAATTTACGAAGAGTTATTTATTAGGGTTTACAACCTTACATTAAGGATTACTCGGGTTTATGAATGGTAATATCAGGGCGCCCCACACTGTAGGCCAATAACTGCGATGATGAGCACACACACGCAAACGTACATACGTACCATTCTGTAGAAGCTTTGGGGGCGTTAATTAGGGGTCACAAAGCTGATGACAAGATATTGGGGGTTTATTGAAGCAAGGTTTGACGGAGGGTAATAGACACGGTGGGGTTTTGTAAACCATGGTCAGACGAGGGTTCCCATTTGGCCCGCCTGACGGTTTGGACTCTTAAACATAGAGAGGTGGTGGAAGACCGACTGGGCTTTGTCCGTTGCCTTGCCAAAAATGTACCTGGAGGGGATGTAAGCCGTCAGAATGCAGATCACGCACGCATCCATCCACTTTGTCCAGGTACATTCTGGCAGGGCTAGTCTGCAAATTCCAACTCCACAGGGCTGATTCAGTTCTTCCTTTGGAGGGAAAGGGAGTGAGAATTGGGAGGAAGAGAGAGAAGGGAGGGCCCTCAGAGGGAAAGGGAGGGAAGTGTGGTAAGAAGAGACGGAAGAGAGAGATGGGAACAGGAGATGGGAGAGAGACGGAACCGAGAGATGGGAGAGAGATGGGCCAGAGATGAA